GTTGACTCAGTGTTGTTGTTTAAAACTCATTTTTAAGGAGTTTAACGTGGAGCTGAACTTTACAAAAAAGGAACAACTTGACAGTAATAATGGACATTTATTCTGAGTAGGATTCAGCCTTGTCTGATAATGTGTGTGTGCAGTAAGTCTAGTTTGTGCAGACGTTGTGCGTGTGTGTGTGTGGGGGGGCTGCACATCGTGTTAATGTGTGTAATGAGAGTAGACGTGCTTGTGTATAATCATACTGAGTGCAATCAACGTGAGTAGGACGCACTCAGAAGGATTGTGTGTTTACCTGTTTAAGCTGGGACATGGTGAGAGTAAACAGGTTCACAAACTGCTCCTCGTACTGGTTGACGCTCACGCCAGCGATCTCTGTCAAACATTTCAGCGTCACATTGCGAAACATGGGCACATTCAAGAACTGAAACACAAACAGAACAGAGCAGGTTAGTGATGAAGCCGCGGTTTAACTGTCCACTCAATGTCAGCATGAAACATTTCTCTGTACAATTCAGATGTCTGACAACATGCAAAGCAAGTTAGGGCTGGAAATACAGGTTAAATGATTTGATCTTTTTTCCCCAGTAATCGATAAATGAGTCTGGTCTATAAAGTAAGAAAGTCTTCCCAGAATTCAAAGTGACTTCTTGACAAATTTGTGAGAATATATAATGAAGATAAGCAAACATTTATTAGAGGCTGAAAACAATTAATTAACACGGCAGCAATGTTACTTACTACTGCAAAAAATAAATCCATGGAAATATACAATATGCTGTCACATGACAGATCAAATTCAACAAACGTTTGAGGCTCTGATTTGCTGAATGGACATGAGGTGGTTTACCTTGTAGACCAGCGTGCTGATGAGTTTGGTTTCAAAGATGTAACCTAAAGGAATCCAGTTGAGGAAGCGGAGGAGAGTCTCCAGCGTGGCGTGCACCAGCGGAGCGTTCTGCGAGTTCTCCTGCTCAGAACAAGAAGGGAAGTGTGAGAACGGACTTTTTAAAGGCTGGAGGCAGATGTTGACGACGGTTTGGTCAGTGTTGTCTTACCATCACAAACTGGCACAGCTGGAATATTTGGGAGAACTCGTTGCACATGCTGAAAGGTAGAAACACAAACATTAGTGAGTGTATTAATAACCTGTTGTTGCAGAGTCTCAGTCACTGAATGGACAAAGCAGAAAATCAAGAATCATCCCGAGAGTTATTATCTGTTTTTAATCTTCCACAATTCAATTTGGACACTTATTATTTTACTGCCTGGCTAAACTTTACCTCACAAACCAAAGAGAGAACAGGAAAAATTCACACAAGCTGTGAAACTGTGCGACACGTCACGTTTTCCAGTTACCTGTCTTTGAGGTGCTTGGCCTTCACCTGGGTCATCTGGCCACTGGAGAAGTCAAAGACCTCTTCACTGAGCAGTTTGAGGATGATCATGTTGTTCTGACAGAGGCTCTCGCTGGTCCGACTCGCGCCCACGATGTCACTGATGAATGTGGGCCAGTGTTTGGGCCATTCCTGCTTCAGGATCTAGACCAGTGCAGAGAAGACGAGGAGCTCTGTGTTATTAACCACTTTACGTCTGTTGTTCTCGTAGCAAATGTAAAAACTTCTGTTTGATTATTTACCTGAACGAGGATCATGTTGAGTTTTGAAATGTAAACTCCTTCTTTCTGCAAAATAAACATGAAAACCGCAACATCAGTGTCAAGCAGCACAAAGTGAAGCCTCACATCACAGAATCCTACGTGAATATAAACTCACCTCCATGTTGGCAGGATCAGAAGACGTCTTGATGATCAAACCGACAACATATTTCTTGATTCCTGAAAATATGTCCATGTGTATTTATTGGAAACATCACAGACCTCAGAGACAAAATCATTTGTTTAATGTCACTAAACTGATTTTTACCTTCACATTGATTTCTCGGGAGAATCTTCCAGCGAGTTTTGATGACTACCTCCAGAATCTGCAGCGCATAATACTGAGAGACAAACAGACGTATTAAGAGCTCGGACAACAAACTACACACGGGGGCAACAATGTCATGTGACGTCATCAGTGCTCATACTTTGGTTTTCATGTTCTGTGAGAACTCCAGGATAGTGTCGACCCTCGTCCAGGCATCTGGATGGTCTTTTAGGTTGGTCAGCACTTCCTGAGCCACCCGTTGCTACGAGAGAAGCGACACAGACAACGTTATAGGTCCTGAATCTATAGCGGTGAACTTCAGGTATATTATCCCGAGCTGTACACATCATATTTGACTCCACGCTCAGTCCACAGAACCTGAAGACTTGCTGCTGCACAAAGAGCATTGAACCTGTTTCCTCAAAGTTTGATGAAGCTCGACTGTGTATGAAGAACCTGAACTGGGGCCTGTACTACGAAGCAGGTTCAACAGACCCAGGATATCTTTCCAACATCCAATCACAATCTGGGTAGATGGTGTTATCAAAAGGCCTCTGGAGAATCAGTTGTCTCCAAAGCGCCTGTTCATTCCAAGTTATTAATATTGAACATATCACATGTCTAAAACGCACCATACTCATTAACAATACACATGTCAACCCTGGAGCTGACGAGGTGAACGGTTCTTGAGATATGTGACGGACAGACATGTCTGGATATACTGGAGACATTTAAACCAGGAAGGATTCATTTATGGAAGCACAGTGGAGAGGAGCAGTCTCACCTGGGAACCAATGTCATGGTACATAGAGTTGACAACATTGTCCAACAGGTTGATGTCCAGTTTTTGACTGAAGTCCAGCAGCTGTCTGGCTGGGTGATCGGCCAACATCGTCATTTCTGCTGGCATAGAGCTTCTGAGTGGAGAGCAAATTATCAACATTAACAACCACTGCTGACACACAAAGTACACAAACACACACACACACTGGATATAATTGTTGGGTCTGGGCCACAAATCAATAATAGTAATGACCTGTGTAATATTCACAAATAGCAATATAACAAGCGTTTAATATGTCTTGATATACACAGAGTATTTCATCACGATGATTGTGTCTCGGGGGGAATTATGCTTCAGGGATGGGGTGTTCCTGTTTGGTTGTTCACGGTGACACAGGTTTGATTCCCGGATGGAAATGTGAGATGGTGAAAAACACCCGATTAAACACATGTAGATACCGGTATGTGTGTGTTCTCGAGGAAACGAGGGAGCCGGTGATGGTGAGTTACATTTACTGTTTCGTTTCCTGTACAAACTATGTTCATTATTTTGGGGGGGGTGCATACAAAGCAGACAGGTCCATCTTATTTTGAAATTGAATGGTAACTTAATTGAAATGCTAACGTAGCTACTTGAATTTCTATATCTTAGAATGATCTCATCTTGGATTAGTTCTTGTCCGGTCTTGATATTGATGCTGTTACTCTGGCTTCTTCTTCGCACTTCTCTTTAATGACTGAGTCCTATGAGCCCGAGCACACGATAATGAAGACCAAACACAGAACTAGATGAGTGAATCACGGGCAGGGTTCGATTCCCTCTGATGTCCCAGACTAGTTCTTCTTGCTCAGAGTCAGGGCAGCGTGCCTGAAGCGGCCGTCGGCCCACGTGGTCCGAACATGACACCCATTGCACCGGGGCTGGAGACGCGTGAAACGACGCCACCACCTGGTCAGCTGGGTGCACTGAGCTGCATCCACACTAAGAAACCAGTTTAGCCGCCGAGCTTAGCCTCAGATGGAGGCACTCGGCGGGGATGCTAACCCCCCCTGGCTCCAGTGTTTTAAGCGGATCTAGGCTTGTCCTCCCGCGGGTTCACCCCCCGGTGCTCCACCGACTGACGGCTGCTCGCCCCACGCTGGGTGAGTGAGCTGCTGGATGCCGCTGAGGCTCCACTTACCTGGGGAGTCCTGTCCGGCTCGTCTGGAGCGGTTGTCCGGGGACTGGTGCGAGCTGTGGCCGAGGAGCGAAAATACGAATCTTCTCGATGCGATGGAAAAAAAAAACCCGATCAACTTTTATCTCATGGCACGTTTCCTCCGCTGCTAACCTCCGCTAGCACGAAGCTAACGCTAGCTCCCCTGGCTGACACCGGCAGTGACCGCCAACTTTAAACGTTCCCCCCGGGTGCGTGTGGGTCCTGGTCGCCGTGTTGAAACCTCTCCGGTCGGTTGGTTCTCCTCCTCTAGCCGCGGCGGACCATGGTTTTCGTTACCTGTCACCACAGCCGACTCCCACCGGGCTAACAGCCAGCTAGCGTGCTAATGGCAAAGTCAATGAGGATTCGGCTCTGGCGGCTAACGTGATGCTAAGCTAACAGCCCAGAGTCGGTGTTCCGGCTCATCAGCCCGCAATTGAGTCACTTTATTTCAGTCTGTGCTCGCACACAGTGTGGGGCAGCTCCGGCTTTTACAGCGTGAGGCTCCGCTCTTCCTCTCCGCTCATGCTTCCAACCTCGGACCGGTTCAATCCGGTTCAAACCGGGATTCTCATTCTCGGTGTTTCGGCCCGTCGCGCGCCGCGTAAAATTTGGACTATGTACCCGCCCCACTGCGCGTGTGATTGGTTCCCCCGCGCTGTCGTCACGCTTTGTCACGGGCCGGTGGAGCTGTCAATCCGAACGAAAGCCCCTCCCCCTGTTCTGGCCTCAGCAAACATGAAACTGAAATAAAAGAAATAAAAGATTGAAATAAAAAAGATCGTCAGGATTATTATAGACTGAGTGTTTGTTTATTCAATCAGGACGCCACACTGAGATCCAGATCTGTTTTCATCAGAGGCCAGAGAACCAGAAACTTTCACAATCAGCAACACAATAAAAATAAATTCAAAGTCAGATCGAGATCTGCGCAATCTTTCCCCTACTGTTTTTTTCATTCAGGACATTTTTGTTTCCTATGTTTATATTTATACTTTATACACCACAGCAAACTCCTTGTATGCGTAAACCTGATTGGCAGTAAAACCAGATTCTGATTCTTTTTTCCAACAGAGGCCAGAGAACCAGAAACTTTAACAATCAGCAACAAACAATTAAACATCAATAAAAACTTTCACAAGAATCATAAAAAAACATCACATAGTAAAGATTCAAATCTCAGTCTGGAAGGAGGGAAGTTTTGAAATCATTGTGTTCAGAAGGCGCATTGTGTTACGACCCGGCTCAGGGGAAACCCAACATGATGAACGAGTCCCCCCTCGTCCCAGCTCCCAAGAACAACCAGCAACAAATGACTCCACAGCAAAACGTACCCACTCCAATTAAAGAAACAAAAAGATGTGTTATTAATTTAACTCCTAATTTAAAAACAGCAGAAAACAAGGGTTAAACAAAAGAGCTACTGAACACGGCTGGTGCATCAGGTGTTCACCCATTTCACAAGGTCATATTCTGCCTGGCAGCGGCAAGAGGAGAACTGAATCCAGTTCAGCCAATACTGGTGCAGGTATGAGGGAGGACTCAAGTTGAGAAGTCACTGGATCTTCTGCTGCTTGTACTGGTTTTAAAATGATGGTTCAGTTTGAAATAAACAAGGTCATCATGACTCATAGTTATTATTGATCGTAATTATAGTAATAACAAAACTATACAATAATAAACTGCACAACACCACAGCACCTACTGTCCAAGCACTAAAATACAGAAGTCAAGAAAGAACTGCTGCACTTCTTCCACAGTTATATTTACAAGACACATTTCACAATACACAGCCTTGGTCTCTGTCTTTATATTGCACATATGGAGGAACAGCCTTGTTGATGTTTCATTATTTCTACTTTTATGATATAGAGTATTTATATTATTACTTTTACTACATTGTCCCCTCGCACTGCTTCTTCCTCATGCTGCTTGTTTGTAGAGCACTTTTAACAATTGTCAAAGAAAGCAGATGAAAATGAATCCCTATAAATATGACATACACATCATACTCATTGAAATGATAGATACTCGTCACGATGAAACATTGAAAGCAGTTGTGAGAAGTTGGGTTTTGAGCAGTGAAGGAGACACTGGACAGTTCAGTGCAGCCTCTAAGTGGATTGTTCCAGAGGGACGGGGTCGCTGTGGAAAAGAACTGGTGTTTTAAAAGTAAAGAACAGCAAGAACTGATTTGATTGAGTTTTTTTGCACTTTGTTGGAATTTTATCGATAAATTAAAAAAACAGGCATAGTTTTATTTTAAATAACCTCACTGAAAACATTTCTATAAGGCAAATGTATTAAATGTATGTAACCCTGACCCTCAAACCTCCGCCAGGGTCCAACAGTCCCGTTAAATTCAATGAAGCTGCAACAAACACCAGAAATCACTTTGTTCCAGGGACGAGAAGCTTCCTCCTCGACGCTCTTCGTCGCTCGGTGCGTTCAGTTGTGCTCATTCTTCTCCATCAAGTTTGATGACATCATTCTGTTGTTTCGTGCTTTTGAGCGTCGGCATCACTCTCGCTGTCGTCTGAATAATTCTCATGATCGTCAGAGTAGTGGTAACTGTCATCAGAACCGCGGCGATCATCTCCACAGTCGCCCTCGGCCGAGCGGTGACCGGCGGGGTCGTCACCGTCGTGGCGGTTTGATGAGGCCTCGTCACTGTCCTTGTCCTCCTTCCCTCGCCCCCTCTCGTTGGGATCGTCCACATCTTCGTCGTCCAGGAAGACTTTCCTGTAGCGGACAGGTTGATATCCCATGTCTGAGTTCTCTAGGTCACTGATGAACAGAAGAAAACACTTTCACCATTAGACCTGAAATATAAACCCACTCTAACTCTGAACAGTTTTCTTCTTCTCAGTCACTGATCTGGTGAGATCTTCAAGAAGGTATCTGACTTTACAGAACCCTTGAACAAACCTGAAATGATTTACCTGTGTCTGCTGTCACTGGACTGGGAGGCGCTGCGAGCAGATCCAGATTGGGCTGCTTTGCTGCAGATGAACTCCTCGGTCACTTCACATCCGTGCACGGCGTCTGTGTAGCGCTTCTCTGCTGCCTGTTTGGCGTTCGTCTGGTATTAAAGCACAGGATCAGAAAGCTGCTCAACGTGAAGGAACATGAGATCAAAGCTGAAGAAGAACCAGGCTCTGAAATATCTTCATCACTGAAGACCATCAACGCTCCCTCAGCTCACCTCATGCAGTCTTTGCTTATATTTCTAGATACATGATATATGATATGATGTAATATAATAGAGTATTTTATTACATACATACAGAGTAATTGTTAATTTCTTGCATTTTTAATACTATTATTTCCTATACATCATTTTATGATTAAAAATTTCAATCATTTTTTTGCCAGAACATTTCTATTCACCAGTCTGATGCAAATTCCTCCTGGTTTTCCTCGATGAATTCCGTCTTTCTGAGTTTAAATGTTCAGTCTCATTAAAGTTTGAATAAAAACGGTAATAGTTCAGCAGCTGTTTAGAAAGACACACTCTTTATTTTCACCTGTGCGACCTGCTCCAGCAGCAGCGGCCTCCCCTTCACTCTCTGCTGCATCTCCTTGATCTCCTGCTGGTATTCCTTCCTGCGCTGGAGGTCTTGTTTCCTGCAGAGTTTAACAACACAATCTTGTCAGTCCCTCATTTACAAACAGGAAGACGAAAGTTTGTGCTCTTGTTTTTACTTGACCTGAATTCTTCGAGTTTAGTCTGGTGGGTCTGTGACAGCGCCAGGTGGGGGTCGTTGGCCTGGGCTCGCTTCAACACCACCCTCTGCAGCTTCCTCTCCCTCTGCTTCTGCTTCTCCCTCCACTGCTCCTCCTGCTCTGTGGCCTTCCTCCTCTGCTCCAGCACCTTTCTACTCAGGGAGACAGTCTGGTCACAGATGGAGGAAGGTTTGGATGGGATGGGGACAGCAGGGGCAGCTAGTAGAGGACATGGGTGCAACAATCTGCTACGGGGGGTTCAACTGTTTTGCAGGGAGGCCTAACACGCTGCTCTGCCGGGGATGCTGGGAAAAAGGAGTTCCACTAGGATTTCAAACTCAAAAGACAGCTGCTGTGGAGGATGTGTTTAAACAGGATATTTGAGAGGTTGTCTCTGTCTCGACTAAAATGGTGGAAGCCCTCGGAGTCCTAAGATGATACCTCACGGCCTCATGGCGCTTTTTGGTGGCATCTGTGACTTTGGTCGGCAGGAGCTCCAGGCTGCCGGAGAGAGATGAACAGAGGCTCGAGTTTGCCGTCCGATTCGTCCCGGAGCTAATGTATGGCCAGCGCCGCGTCCGAGGGCTGCTCTGCTCCTTCTCAATGTCAGCTAGGATGCGTTCGCGGTGCGAGGAGATCTGAGAAGTCTTCAGATCGAAGGGTTCACATGCGGTTGTAGGCTTCACCTCCTTTCGTTTCTCCAGGTTTTTCTGGAAGCGTCTGTAGCTGGCGTCAAAGTCAGGAACCTCTTTGTTGATGTGGGGTCGGTGGGGGAAGCTGCTGACCCCTCCGGCCGCATCGCTGCCGTCTTGGGTCTTCTTCCGCTCGCCGAGTCGTCGTGAAAGCATGCTGGGAGGCATCGAGGCACCGCGGAGCAACTCCTGAGCTCTCATCTGTGTCTTGATGGAGCGATACAGCTGCTCCTCCTTCATCAGCTCCCCTGATGCTGCGGCGTACACGGCCTTGGGCACAGGCTTGGCCTTGAAGGGTTTGACTCTGTCCTGGTCGGATGGTTGTGGGTGACGCAGCTGTTTCTGCTCCTTCTTGAGTCGCTCCCTCTCCAGGAAGCTGAAAGGTTTCTGGATGGTCCGGAGGTACTGCTCTTCTCGTTCTCGCTTGTTTCGCTGCCGCTCGCCCTTCTGCTCCTGCAGCTCTTCATAGAGCGGGAGGTGAACGTGTGCAGGCACGGGGCTGGCGCGGAACTTCCTCTGGCACTCCGTCAGTTCTTCCAGCTGCCGCCGCAGCTCTGCGTTCTCCAGCTCGATCTCTGTGCGCGTCTTTATGCCACGCTTTTGTCTCTCAGCCTCACGCAGGGTCATGTGGAAAGGTTTCGGGATTGTCACTCTGTGTTTCCAGGTCTCCCTCTTCTTGCCTTTCCTCTTTCCGGATCTCTTCTGGTCTCCCGGCAGACTCTGGAGCGAGGAGGACGTCAGGTGACGAGTGTTTGGTGACAGCTTGAAGTCCCTCCACATGTTCTTGATGTGTTCCTTGGGAGAGAAGAGCAGACCTTTCTCCACATCGTTGCTGGAAACATCATCCTCGTCTGATGAGTCCGAGTGTCCTGAAGTCCTCCTGAGTTCTACGGCAGAGTGGGACTTTCTCAGTCGGCGTGAAGCTGCTGGGCTGCTGTTTGACCACGGAAGCCTGATATCAGAAATATAAACATAACATTGTAAAGCACCTGCACTCGTCCTCCGTCACACTTCAACACATGACAGCAAAATGAACATTCACTAGAAAGAAGTTGCTTTTTGTAACAAATGAACATTGACAGGACACGTTCATCTGGTGTTCATGTAACCGTGTCCGTCTTAACCACGTCAACAACACATACATGTTGAGTTCAACTGCACTCAGTCTCTCTGATGGCAGCCGTTCGTTTGGCACATTCAGCTGACGCCAGTCGATCCTTCACACTGAAGCTCGAGGCTGTTGTGCTATGAAATATCAACATGGCACCAACTTGAGGCCAAAAGGAATCAAGATAAAGGAGACACATCTTTTGCCTTTGTCTGTGGATATCATCCACATCATCACATAACTCAGGAAAACCAAACACATCAGGGGGATCCAGATGTTTTGCGTCACATTTGGAAGCTGTGATGTCATCTTTCTTTACAGTCGGTGGTTAAAACCTCAGTTAACTTTGAGTTTGTTAATCTCGCTGCCCACCTGTGCCCCGCCTCCAGCGCTGTCAGGTCCAAAGGCCCCATGAACTTGAGCTGCAGCTTCCGTTGGTACATGCTCTCCAGCTCGGCCATGGTGTGGAGGTGGGCCTTCTTCAGCTCCTCCAGCTTGCTGTAATACTCCTCGTTGGAGAAGAAGATGCCGCTCAGGTCGAGGCGTTCTCCCGGCGCTATGTAGCCGTTCCCCAGACGATCATCGTCACAGAAGTCAGAGCCGGAGTCCTCGTACTCCAGCTGAAATATAGGACGAGATTTTTACCTGACAGGGACGTTCACGTGTCACAGAAGCAAAGAGTCAGAATGAAGTTGGCAACAAAACATTTGAGTATGAAACTAAATTAAAACAGACAGAATATGTGTAAATAATAAAAACCTTTAACTACAGGCAGAAATATTATTTGTACAGAAATGTACTAAAGTAAAGAGCATTGGCACAAGAATGTAAACTATGTTTGAGTATTATGTATCAGGAGATATGAAAGTAAACAT